CTGTATTCTTCTGTAGGCTTGACTAGGCTTGTTGTCCAAGATGACTCCTCAGTGGGTGGCAGGTAAGGCTGGCTGCTACCTGGAAGATCAGCTAGTGCTGTCTGCCAGAACATCTTCACATCATCTCTCTATGTGACTTGTACTTCTCATAGCATGCCAACCATGTTGCAAAAAACAAGTGCTTCAAAAGTGAGCATTACACAGCACAGGAAAGTGGAAAATGGCAGGCCAGCCATAGGCTGTAATTGGAATTGGAACTGTGTATTAGTTGGCTTTTGTTACTGTAACAATTCCTGACACAGGCAACTTATAAAGAGGAGAGGTTTATTTTGGCTCACAGTTTTTGGAGGCTTCCATCTATGGTCAATTGGCCCCATTGCTTTTGGGCCCATGGTGAGGCAGCACATCATGGTAGAAAGTGAATAGTGGAAGAATCTGCTCACCTCATGGGGGCTGGGAAGCAAAAGGCGGGGGAGGAAGGGGCCGGAGACTCAATGTCTCCTCAGTGCCGCCCCCCAGCCAATGACTTAACTTCCTCCCATCTCTTAAAGGTGCTACTACCTACTAATAGACCAATAGTGCCTCAGGCTAGTGACCAAATGGGCCTTTAGGGGACATTTATCCAACCATGGTAAGTAGGATCATTTCTTTTATGTCTGTTGGTCCAAGGACCTGCTCAGATTTACTTTGAGGGGGAAGAGGCAAGGTCATATTAAAAAAGAGTATGTATGTAGAAGATACTGCTGTAGCCATTGTTGGGAAATATGTCCTTTGTATTTCATTAATGTAGAATTAATTCTTATGTCTATTTTTGTTAATTTTTGCTAGATACAAGCCTGATTATCCATTGATGTATATATCAGGCACCCAGAACCATGCTTGGCACATAAGTACACATGGATAGTTGTTGAATGTAAGATGAGTGGTGTCAGAGCTACTGTGTTATTCCTGTCACAGTGGTGTGAGTTTTAGTCCCATTTCTGATTTGTATTCTTCTCTTTTCACAGATTCTGATGTTCCCCAAGGGCAAGTACCACGCCTCCTTACTCACCACTGTATTGCTAAGCAACTAGCAAGGAGCCATTGCTCAGTCACAATGTTAAATTAACAAGACAAGACCACATTTGAGCTGGGATCTGAAGGATAAATAGGATTTTGCTAAGAAGAAGAGGGCAGGGCACAAAAGCAGAAAAGGACACTGTGTGGCAAAAGGAAAGGATAAGTGAGACTGTAATGAAACTGACCATGAGCCCTCAAAGTCTGGGCTCCACCTGATTTGACCTCTAGTCTAGTTCTCATAGTCTATGCAGTGACTCCATAGTCCTATGGAGCACTATGTGCTTGTTGAATGAATAAATGTTGAGGCTGTGAACCTAACATGTGGATTTGGGGAGGGAAAGGGGTTCAGTTAGGTAAAATCAATTATAATTCTTGCTACTTGAGATAATCTTTTAATATAAACCTAGCATTTTTTAAAAAGTATTACAATCCAGTAAAATTTTGTATTTTTGGACCTAAGAGCCTGTTCAGTTTATGTATGTTCAGTAACTTTAAAGCAGGGTAATTTATATTCTTATGTTGCTTTCTTGCCAATTGTATGCCTGAGAGAATGTAGCAAAATCTATAGGGTTAACCCTGAAAGTTATGAGTAAATCTTACAAGGGAAAGACTAACTTTTTTGGTGAAAGGGAAAGAAGAATGAGCCATGTATCTTTCATAGAAATGACACAAATAAATCAACAGCCAGGCAGCAGAATAGTTAATCCCATCAGTGAAAACACAAGTTGAGAAAATTAACATGGAGATTTTTTTATGCTTATGATTCTTTAAAAATCATTATGCATCTTTTTCTCCTATAAGTTTGTGAATCAGTTACTAAAATTTCAAGGGAAAATCTATTTAAATCTTTTGTATCTTAATCCTTAAGAAATGTTCAGGAACAGGTAGATAGCGTACTTGCTGCATATTAATAAAAATGTGACTTCTTATTTTTGTCCATATTGGAGTAAAAAAATCCTCAATTGTCTTCAGTTAGATTTAGCCATAGAGTTACATTAAACACTTAACACAAAGTCCTTTCTTTAGCCCCCAGTTCATTCATCATTTATTGAAATGATGATTTTGTACAAATGATGGCTTATAAACATGTAGACTCAGCTATTGATTTTAATGCATATGCCTCAGACATGATGACTGCACAGAAAATAGTATCAAAAATAAAGGCAGAACTTGAGACATGAAGCAACCCATCCTTCCCAAGCTGGCCTCCAGAAGTTTCTGCTGCTCCCGTGCCCAGGAGCTCGGCATGACCTTGAGCACCCATGGACTTCTGTAGATCTTTTGACACCTGCAGTTCTTCAGGCTGATCACTTTCAGCTCAGGAAGCATTGCGCTCTTTAGTCAGTCATCCTGATGTCCTGCCATCTCTAGCTCTGAAGTGTTTCTGGACAGAACCTGGTAGTTCAGTTTTGAGCTGTTTTAGGACCAGCCACCCCTTATTGCCATCTCAACTGGTGGAACTGTTCTCTTTACTCAGAGTGGTCATGTTCTACTCCCCCCACCCACACACTGCTTTTAAAATAGTATGACTCTACATAGCACATTGGCTACTTCTTGATGAATGTGTGTAAACACATATACACCAGCTTTTTTTCTTGACTTTTACTAAATACACTAAAAAATGTTGAAAGTTTATACCCAGCCTTTCTAGCAGCTCTGGCTATAGTCAGTCCTAAAACGATGAGGATACTTCTGAATGGGACTGGGACACAGTGATTCTTGAGGTTTTTCTCATTGTGGATTTTTTCACTATGGGACATACAGGCTTCACATTTGACAAACACCTGCTGTCACCCACATTGTATATTCAGCAAATGGCTTCTGTGTTTCTTCTAGCTCAGGGAACTATTTACAGCAATAAATACCATCTAGTGACATTCTTTCAAAGACCTTGTGTTGTATTAAGGTCAGACAGTAATATTTTCTGCTAGTACTTTGAGGCTTAGTAATTTCCCTTAGAAAATTCCAGAACACTCTATCAGCTGCACCAACATGCCCTGCAGTGTTTTCCTGCGTGGCAGCGAAGGTGGTCTGAGTTTGGATGGCACACGGCCTCTAGTATGCTCTCTGGGGCTTCCTGCCATGCTTTGCTTTTGGCCTCCTTCTTGTGGGCACTGCTTAGGCACCTGCCTTACCTCATCCTGCTGTCCAGGCCAGCATGGATGATGTCCAATCAGCATGGAGCCCAGGCCTTTCACCTTCCTCCCGAAGTGAAGAGGTTGAACTGGTCAGCCAGGGAGCCTGAGGAAGGGGGAGTTGTAGAGCACCCCAAGTCCCAGCTGGAGCTGGGATTGTTCCTACTGGGGAACCATAGCCTCATCTGAGGCCTTGCCTTGCACCCAGTGCACACATTCTGCTTTTTTTCCCACTCAAGAAAGGCCCAGAGGCCAATACAGGTTTTTTGTTTATTCATTTTTCTAGTAGCTTTATTGGGGTATAGTTTACATTCATAGAATTCACCCACCTAACATGTAAAATGCAATGACTCTTAGTTTATTTACAAATATGTTCAGCCATCATTACTGGCCAATATCCTACCCTTTAGCTACTATCCACCCCCATTCTCCTGCCTGCTGCTCTTTCCTGCCCCAACCACTTGACAATCACTACTTTTCTGGCTCTACAGTTTTCCCCATTCTAGACTTTCATATGAATGGAATCATATTTGTGATCTTTTGCGATTGGCTTCTTTCACTTAATATAATGCTTTCATAGTTCATCCATGTTGTAGCATGAGTCAGCATTTCACTCCTTTTTGGGATAGAATAATAGCCTGTCATATGGATAAACCATGACATAGCTGTTCGTTGATGTATGGGTATATTAGAATTTATCTGTTTGTTGATCGATATCTGGGTTGTTTCCATCTTTTGAATGACTGAATAATACTTCTGTGACTATCTAGGTGTAAGTTTCCATGTGGATATTTTATGTTTCTCTTGGGTGTATGCTAGAGAGTGGAATTGTTGTGGTCTTCTATAATCCCTGATCAGAAGACTCTTAAATAGTTGCATCTGGTGAGGAAGAATCCAGGCAGGATACATAGAAGTAGTAAGGGAGATAAGAAAGTTTATTATAGATGAGAGTTCCCCATGGTCCCTGCCAGGTGGGCAGAAGACAAAGGGGCCTAGAGAGAATGAGGTGTGTGTGTGTGTGGTGCCAATAATCTGTGGATGGGAAAAGATCTGGGTAGTCCTTGATCACCAATAACCTGTGAGCAAGGAAGGATCTGTGTGTTTCTGGTGGGTTGGACTAGGGTAATGGACAGTTACTCTGCACATGCACTTAAGCTAGATCAGATATTTTAATTACATGCATGGGGTGTGATCAATATTCACATCCTAAGCAAGGAATTTGCAATTGAAAAGAGCTCTGCTGGGAAGAAAGGTCACATGAAGCCTGAGTTCCAATGATTTAATTTTCTTTTCCTCTTTAGCCCACCTCAGAATTCCTGGGTCATGGGGTAACTCTGTTTAATTTTTGAAGAACCACCCAAGTATTTTCCAAAGCAGTTGCACTATTTTACCTTCATACCTGCTGTATATGATGGTTCTAATTTCCCCACATCGTCATCAACACTTGTTGATGTGACTTTTTGATTCTAGTCATTGTAGTAGGTGTGAACTGAGGTAGTTTTTGAAATAATTTGATAAAGGTTTTCCCTTTCTAGTAGTTTTTAAATGCACCATGTCTTTTTAAGATACTCCCATTCCTATTACCTGTAAAAGCATGACTGTTAAGAGATCCTGTTGCCTGAAATTTCATTATTAATCTAAAATTTTTATTGAATAAATCCAGTGTGGGATGTTGTTTAACATGTGTCAGTTGGGGGTGATTTCAAGGAGTGGAGCAAGTGATATGCTCCCCCTGGGGTATCCCATGTGTCCCAGGAGACTGTTCCCCTTCTTGTTGGTATGTCTGACAGGTCCTTTGCCTTTCAGGAGGACTGGCACTGGCCCAAGTGCTCTTCTTCTATGTGAAGTACTTGGTGCTCTTTGGTGTCCCAGCTCTGCTCATGCGCCTGGATGGACTCAAGCCACCACCCCTCCCCCGCTGTGTGAGCACCATGTTCAGTTTCACGGGAATGTGGAGGTCAGTTGCTTGGTTTATTAAAGTCCCCTGGGATGTCCAGTGGGAGGCAGCATGGTGTGTCTGCCTTCAAAGAACTTGACCATCATCTTCTTTCTGACCCTCACTGAAGCCACATTTGGCATTTCAGTTTCTTTATCCTCTTAATAGGATGACGACCCACTCTTCCTGAACCTCTTAAGGTTCAAAGGAATCCCTTGAGGATTGGTGAGACAGGAAAGAATGTGTGTGCCAATGCACAAAGGGCTATATTTGAAATGGTTTTTACTAGGAATATGGTACTATGTATTGCTTATTTTATTGCTTTCTATTTTTCTGGAAAATGGCATCTCTATGTGAGACTGTTGATTTAAAAAAAAAAGATTCAGGATAAAAGCATAGGTAGTGTTGCCAGTTTCTAGTTCTTAGATCAGAAATGGGCATTTAAAATCTCCCTGTCTCAGTTTTCCTTATCTCTTCAGTAGTAATTGCAATAGTAAGGATAACACATATCTCTAAGAGTTTTGAAGATTAAATAAGCTAATGCACTCAGAGCAGCCAGCACACAGTGGATCCTTACCAGTGTTTGCTTTTACCTTTGTGTTATTCCTTAGCTCCTTTGCAATGGTTAGACAAATGCTTTTTCTGAGTTATTTTACTGGTTTCAATTTTGTCCCATAAACTTGTGGTTGACCTAGAATCTTTGTTCTAAAAGATCCCTTAGTCCTTCCTCCACCCCTGTCCTCCACCATTTCTGACTGGTGTTTTCCAGATGCACTTGCTTGCTGCTGCTTTTCTTCACTTCTAGTGTTTTTCTTCACTTCTAGTGTGTGACAAGTGACAGGATTTTGTTTGCAATTTCAAATCTAATGCAAGAACCTCAGGATCAGCAGTGGCTCAACCTTGGGAGTCAGTGCTCAACCTTTAGTCAGTACTTAAATTTTGCCATGCAGGTACCTTGTTCACCTCTTCCTAATTCTGGCCCTGCTCAAGATTGCCCTTTTGTCTCAGTCATATAGCTCACTCAGTCTTATATTTGCTCCTGTAGGCAGAAGACCAAGACTTAGGTAGGGGAAGAGCCTAGTGAATATTGGTATATCAAGTGTTGCTGTTCAAAAGGAGGAGGTCAGCACTGAACATCCTGGTTTTCCATTGCCACTTATTACAGATGCTGAATGAATCTATCCTCTTTAAATGCATTTTATTTTTGGTTTAGTTTGCTTTTGGGAATTAGAAATTTCATATGGTTACTGCAAGGAATATCAAGTAATTGCTTTAATTTGTCCTTAATTATTGTATTGAACATCAGGTTGCCCTGCTCTCATGGCAAAATTGAGGGATGCTAGCAAAGGAGCTCTTCCTAAATAGAAGCACAGGAAGTGGTTTTCATTTAATAAGTAAGCTTGATTGGAAGTGCTGTTAGCTTTTGACCTGTTCATCAAAGCAATTTCCTGAGTCAATAGGTCAGGACCCACGTGATTTGGGGACATGTCACAGTGCCTGATGGGACCCTAGCACAGCTCTTCTGCCTCTGCAGTGTGAACACCTCCACTGATTTATTCTTGGGGAGCACATTCTCCTCAGAGACCTCTGCAGTGTCTTTGGGCAGAAGAAAACCATGCCTTCCACAGATAGGGTGGCTCCAGGCTCTTGGCTCCTTGTCATAAATACTAGCTCATTGCTTGTCACAGGCAGTGTAGATGGTTGACCACATTTCACACTTACAGTCACTGACTTATTGCCCTTTATTTTTATTTTTTTTGTCCAAGAAATATTGTCCATTCTACATAAACCACTGAGGTGGACAAAACATGTCTGCCAAGACTTTCATCATTGTCTCTTCTGGAACTAGAGTCACATAGTTTAGACCCTAGTCTGTTATACTTTCTTCTCTGCCAGTTAAAGTTTTAATACACATGTGTGCAAGAGGGTAGGACTGAACAGTCGCTCTCAGGAGGAAACTGGGAGGTGACCTCCTAGAGTGATATGGTTCTGAATGATGTTTTCAAGGGCATGTGATGAAGTAACAAAAAGGTCCTCTGGGCCTGACCTGGTCTTCTACCCTAGCTTCTTTAGCATGCAAGGGTATAGATTTTCCCTCTGTTTTTATTTTCAGTTTCTTGAAGGGTTTTCCAGTTTGCTGATTATACTTGGGTCTTTGTAACAATGACCATTCCATATTAAGTAGTTGAATTTCAGAATGGAGGTTAACTATCTCTGAGCTACAGTGTACAATGGAAGGCTCAGAAGTAGTTTTTTAAATTAAAAACAAGAACAAAAATTGCTACAGCATATCTTTCATGTTACTTGCAGATACTTCTTCATCCTTAGGAGGAGTTTACCATGTTTTCTGTTCAGTTTCTGATAGTATAATCCGGACTCTAGCCCTCATTCTTTAACTTTGGAAGAATATATTTTGGGCTGGGGGTGTGGCTCAGGGAAAGCAGTTTTGAATTTATAAGATCTAACATTAATATACCTGGACCGTTTCTTGAAGCATTACTACAGATAAGGAATAGCTCCCTCTCCTGGATTTAGGTCTAAGGAGAATTTAGTTATGAGCAGGTGGGAAAGCCAGTGATAAAATTATTCTGGTAGACCAAGTCCGCCTTTCACACAGCAACACAATGCTCAGGTTGGATGGGAAGTGGAGGAAAGAGACTTGAAACAATCTCCAGAGTTTGTTCAGTGGTTACCTGACCTTTTAGAAAATACATATTGAATGAATTGATGGTGGGAGATGAGATTTTAGCCCATCGTGTGAAAGGCACAGCTGAGCATGGTGCTGCTGATTGTGCCATCTTTCAGTCCACTTGGCATTGAGAGAAGACTAGAAGCCAGTAGCCTGCTGTGCCAGAGGAATGTGTCACAGGAATCTGAGCTCTATCATAGAACAGATGAAATGGCCATCAGTAGAGAGATAATCTTCCTTGACATGACAATGAAAATTGGCCATGAAAGTTTACCATTCACTCAGATGGCCCACACCTAAAAGTTAGGACCTAATGGATGTCCTTATTTTTCTTCTCCTAGTTCTCTCTCTTATAAGACTCCAGTTAAAATATTTATGGGCATAGAAAAACCCTAAGGAGTATGTATATTCCCACTTGGGTGATTTTTCTGTGGTCATACAAACCTGAGAAATTAAGAATTTTCTACTTAATTTTTAGGTTTCATGTTTTAATTTAGATGAGTTGATTTGTAATGAAGACCATCTTTTGCCAAGAGTCATTAATGATGACACTGCATGTCCAAGGTTCCAAATTAGAAATCTGATCATGTCCTCTTGATTTGATTTCTAGCTATGGAAGCAAAGTGTGCAAAGTGATAGAATTTCCCATGGTACGTGGTGAGTTATGGGTGAATTTCAGTTATTTCAGGCATCTTGTGCAGCTTTCTCTCTGCATTTCTTGAGTTTGATGCTCTCAGGTCTTCACAGAGATGCTTATCTCAGAGGAATCTGGGTGTTGTTTGGTGGATGCTAGACCATAATATACAGGGAATCCTTAGGCTGGGGATGGGAGAAGCCTAAGCCACTTCTTTCAGTGGGGTATGATTGTATGTCTGGTAGGTTATCAGAAGAATTCAGGTCTCTAGGTAGAAAGTTGGTCCAGGCTTGTGGTAGATGATACCAACCAACTCTACAAACTGCTGGCTTTGTATTGCTCCTGCCTTTGAATCATGTTAAGCCTCCAGTTGCAGAACAGGATGGCCAGCATGGAGTTGGTATATATATATATATGTATATACACACACACACATATATATATATGTATACACACACATACCAGAACTGTTGGACACAAAATAGAGGCAAGGTGAATCTAAAGTAGAACAGATGCTGGTAACAGTGTTCACCTTTTGTAGAACTAGCCAGTGACTAAGAGTTTACTATTTAATTATGTGACTTTGGGCCAGTCATTTAAGTTCTCTGGGCCAATCTTTGCACCTCTAAAATGAGGATAACAATAGGATATTGCAAGGATTGATTGAATCTAGCATGTAATAGTAGGTCCTTAGGAAGTGACAGCATCTTACTTTTAGGAAGTTGAAAACCTAACAAAGCCATAGGTCTGAGAGGTCTGCGTCCTGTTGGGCCAGGTTGGGGAAATGGTGAGTATTGGTGGGACTGGTGGAGGAAAGTCTCCACCCAGTTCAGAGCTAGAGGTGTAATGACTCAGAGACAGATTATGGTGGTAAAATCATGAGCCTCATAGAAGTCTTGCTCAAATCACTTTTGTTCCACCTTGCTTGTCTGTTGAATTAAAGGCCAGGAATTGAATCTTGTCATCAGATGGTGCCTGTCTCTCTTCCACTTTTATCTTTCCTTGAGCCCCCATCACACTGAATGGGGATGGTCACCAGTATCCTGGTGCTAAAGTACCTGTACTCCCACTACCCATGTAATTGGGCAAGTTGTTATGTCACCACTTTGTGAGGTATTAAGATAGGACCAAACACAGTATTTGCTGTATCAGATTGTTGTGAAGGTTGTACTGAAGCACTGAACATAGAGCAAGCATGTTACATTAGCAAATCATCATTGTCACAGATAGAGTAGAATTTATACTGTCCTTTGTTTTTATAATTTCACAGAAAAGGAAGCCTGTTAAGATGGGTGGTTAAAGGAGGGTATATATGGAAGACATGGATTTTAAATTGGAGGCAGGGGGACCCCAAGATCTGCCCAGTCTGACCTCTTCCTTGCTTCTAGCAGAACTCTTATTATTTAACATGTATTTGCAAAATTTCCAGCTACTAGAAATTTGTATTACCTCACATTTTGTATCTCTTTTGGTCAACCTTTCTCTCATGATCCCATTTCAGCAAACTCAGAAAATGTATTTTCCTTCTTTTAACATTCATATTTAAATCCCTTCCTTCCCTTTCCTCCAAACACAGACTTCCATAGATCAAAGAAGGAAGGAAATACCAAGTTGAAGCAAATTTTATGAACCATCATTATGTTTTACTTCCTGGATTTATTTTTGCTTCAAAGACAGTCTGTCATTTCCATTTTCTCC